CCTTGTTGACAGCTGCTGGCACCGCTTTGATCAAGACTTTCCTGGGGTTACATCTAACAGTAAAGCATACTCCAAGGATCAGACTGAAAATGTATATTATTCTATGTGTGAAACTAAAGTGGCTGAGTGTTGCAATGCTCGAAATGGTGGGTCTCAGGTTGACTCGCGTCCTCAAGCTCTTGTCTCCACAGCAGCTCGTGAACGGTGGGTGGTAGATTCGGGTGCCACACATCATGCCACACCCGATGAAGCAGTTTTCAGTCATAAAGATGACTATAACAGGCCAGGTAAGCTGGTAGTTGGTAATGGAGTGGCTTTAGACGTTAAGGCTATTGGCAACACTACCTTGTGCTCTTCCTCTCGAGCTTTGTTATTGAGTGATTTGTTACATGTACAAAAAATAACAAAGAATATTCTGTCTGTCTCAAAGCTTGCTAGGGACAATAATATCTTCTTTGAGTTCCATGCTCATGAATGATGCGTTCATGATGAAGACACTGGCACAGTGTTACTTTGTGGGAAAGAAGAAAATGGTTTGTACGCCTTTGCTGTAGATCTTCAAGTGACTGCTCTAGTAGCTGAAGCAAGTTTCTTACCTGCATCATGTGACCTTTACGAGTTGTGGCATCGAAGATTGGGGCATCCCTCACATGATAGCTTAGCCAGAATCTGTAAACAGCTGAATGTAAATGTTTCTGGTTCAATAAATAAAACATGTGTTGCTTGTTACATGGGGAAAAGCCACAAATTACTGTTATATGATTCAAACACCGTGTATGAAACTCCATTTTAGCTTATCTTCACGGACTTATGGGGGCCTGCACCGGTTCTCTCGAATGGTTTTAAGTACTATGTTGCTTTCATTGACGCGTGTACTTGGCACTCTTGGCTTTACCTCTTAAAGGATAAGGTTGAGGCGATCACTGCATTTGGGTTGTTTCAACAACTAGTTAGAAACCAATTTAATATGCCTATTAAAGCTGTCCAGAGTGACTGGGGAGGAGAATACATGCGTTTATCAACCTGTTTGCTCAAGGAAGGCATTGTGCATCGTGTCACGTGTCCACACACGTCCGAGCAAAATGGCATGGTGGAGCGCAAACATCGACACATCATCTAACTTGCTCTTGTACTTCTTGCTCAAGCGTCTATGCCCAATCGATTTTGGTCCTATGCAGTAGTTACTGCCATACACTTGATTAATAGGTTACCAACTAAGCTATTGCAGGGAGTGTCGCCCTTTGAAAAACTATTTGGCAAGAAACTTGAGTATTAGTCGTTGAAGGTATTTGGCTGCCAATGCTTCCCACACTTACGACCCTTCCTGAAACACAAGCTGCAGTTTCGATCACAGTCGTGCGTTTTTCTTGGATACAGTCCTCATCATAAGGGGTTTTAGTGCCTCGCACCTGATGGTAGCATATATATATCGAGACATGTAGTGTTTAACGAGGTACATTTTCCTTTTGCAGGGAATAATCGTACAGAGCACTCAATTCACAAGACTGGTCCACAACCTCAGTCGCTGAAGGTGGTCACCGATGTAGGGAAATTCGATGTACACGGTGCTTCACTTCATTAAATATAGAACGCGAGTCCAGTGCTGGAAAAGGTGTCTCAGCTGAAGTTGACTTGGATACAACACCTGAAGGTGTGCTGCGTCGTCTACATCAAATGGCAATAGTACATCTCCCACATCGACTGATAGTAGTAGAGGTGCTGCCTCCCACCATGCTAGTCCAGCTCATCCGTTAAGTGCAGATCACAATGAATCCAATAGTGTTGAGACCAGTACTTCAGTGCCTGCTCAAGAACATCATGTTCATGATGAGGTCACTGGAAATAGACACTCTATGCTTACACGCAGCAAATACGGTGTTTTTAAGCCAAAGGTGTACACCAGTTTTTTTGATGACACAGTACCCACTAATGTTCAGACTGTGTTGCAATCACCTAATTGGAAGTCTGCTATTGATGCTGAACTTGGTGCGCTGCACGACAACAAGACTTGGTCTCTTGTTCCCCTGCCCAACGGTCGTGATGTTGTAGGCTGCAAATGGCTGTTTAAAATAAAGAAGAACCCAGACAGGTCTGTGCAACGGTATAAAGCACGACTCGTTGCCAAAGGTTACTCACAGGTTCCTGGGTACGATTTCAAGGATACGTTCAGCCCGGTTGTGAAACTTGTCACACTGAATGTGGTTCTTTCTTTTGCTGTCACTAAGAACTTGCCTCTACGCCAAGTTGAAGTAAATAATGCGTTCCTGAATGGTGACATGTCTGAGGAAGTGTACATGCAACAGCCTCCTGGGTTTAAAGAATTTGCTGCGGATGGGTCACCGCTTGTGTGTAAGCTGCAAAAAGCGTTATATGGGCTTCGCCAGGTACCCAGAAATTGGCATGACAAGCTGAAGGTTTGTCTTGAGCAGATGGGGTTTGTGGAGTCTTTAACCGATGTGTCACTCTTTGTGAGATGCATACATGATGATTATGTTTTTGTCCTGGTCTATGTGGACGACATAATAATTACTGGGCAATGTAAGGATGATATAGAGGGAGTAATACAGTCGATCAATAAATCGGATATCAGTGATTAATTCAAAAAAATATATTATCATGAAAATATTTTTTATACAATTGTAAAAATATTAAAATTTGAAATAATAATTAATATTACTATCATAATCTTTTGATTTTTATATCTTTATAAAATCTATAAATAATATAATTAAAATATATACTTACTGGTTTAAAATAAAACTAATATATATTTTTTGAAAAAAACATAAAACTAATATATATATATATATATATATATATCATTCCATTTATAGTTATTTGTTAATATTAATTTTTATAAAGTGTTTTCATATGTAATAAGATCTACTATGACATAAAATTAAAAAATTAAATTAAATCAGATGAATAAGTATTTTTAATTTAAAAATAATAAATAATTTATAATATAAGATTATATTAATATTTAAATATTTCATAATTAAATTTAAAAATAGATTTATTGACCGACTAATCCAGATCGGATACTGCAGAGGTGAGGGCGAACCTCCCAACCCAGTTTGCTCCATTCACAAACGTCAGGATTCGAACCCTTGACTTGCTTAAGGGATCTAGTACCTCATCTCACTAGACCAACTGGTTGTTGGTATGATAATATTAATTATTGTTTAAAATTTTAAAATACTTTTATAAATATATAAAATTATTCTCACGATGATATTATTTTTTAGTTAAAATTTTAAAATATTTTTTCATTAGATTAACATCTAATTATGGTATAGTAAAATCGAATTATTTATAATTATATTTTAAATTATTTTACTGAATTAATATTTAATTGACTACATTAATTAAATTCGGTTAGAAATGTTATAATAAAAAATAAAAAATATGCTCCATAATTTTTTCGTGATTAATATTGACTATCGAGAGGTGTGCTTTACATTGATATTAGTGGGAGCATATAAACGAAAAAAAATCACATGGTGTAATGGTAGTATCGTAATTTAAACATAAACCCATACTATAGTCCATAATCCACACTGCCTCGATCTGTGAAAATACAGTAAGGCGTTGTCCAGGGGTCGCGCTATATCCCTACGTGGCTAAGGCGCTCCCCAGGGGCCGCGCTTTGTACCCATGTGGCGTCAAATTAGCATATAGCGCGGTATAGGGGGCACGCTTTAATGTTAAGGGTGTTAGATCGGGAAATATAGTCTGACCGGTGTTAGATCGGTAAATATATTGGTCACCGATGACATATCGAAAAAAATGCCAAAAAATAAACGAGTTATTCTAAAAATATTAATATTTAATTATTTAATTAAGAAATTATTATAAATAAATTATTAGCAGTTAAATACTAGGATGAACAATGATATACCATGATATAATAATAGTTTTAGTCCCTACAACTTATAAATTATATAAGTTTAGTCCTAATCAAAATAGTTTAGTCCTAATTTAATTATACATTTGGTCTTCTGGAGTCCAATTTATCCTAAATTCATATTAGTATCACTGTCTTTTAAGAATTAAATTTAATTAAAAATATTAATTTAGAAATTTATCCTGAATTCTTCGTTTATTGACAAATGACAATATTGAGTTGTCCATTTATCCTTCAAATAATGGGAAATCAGAGATGAATAAAAGAATGCTAAGATAGTCATACCTTTAGAATTTTGGGTAAAGTACACAAATGGTCCCTTGACTTAAGGGTGTTACTTTGTTGAATCCTCCGACTATTAAAAGTTACAAAATGGTCCTTAACTATAGGACATTGCTTTGTTGAGTTCCTTGACTATTAAATGTTACAGAATAGTTATCCGACTATTCACATGTTCTAAATTTGTCATTTTTTGTTAAAAAAATAGATGACAATATGAGCTGAAAATTAACATGTTGACTGAGATATGATAGTCGTTTGAGATTTTGAGATCATATTTTATCATATCACAATCAGTAGGTTAATGTCTAGCTCATATTGTCGTTAAATTTTTAATAGAAAGGGACGAATTTTAAACATATGAATAGTCGGGTGACCATTTTGTAACTTTTAATAGTCGGGGACTCAACAAAGCAATGTCTTATACTCAAGTGACCATTTTATAACTTTTAATAGTCAGAGGGCTCAAAAATTAGTGCCCTATAGTCGGGGACCATTTGTGTATTTTATCCTAAAAATTTAAACTTTTATATATTAAACTTTTTTATTAATAATTTAATTTTATATTTTTAATATAATTCTTAAAAATTTACACCCTAATATAAATTATAGTGTGAATTCTTAGATTATAAATGGTAAACTGGTAATTCAATTGATATGGAAAAAATCTTATCCATAAAAGCATGTTCTAATTTTTGGACAGTCCCACTCTACATGTAAACTTCACACTTCCCCCACAAAATCATTATAAAAAGGAGAGTAAAGCACCATTCTCAGGAAAAAAAAAAAAGAAGTCTAAAGAAGAAAGGCTGAGAAAGAGAGAGATGGAGTGGAAATCGTGTTACTTGGACATTGTTTTAGTGCCGCTAAGCTTAGCCATGAGCTTAGCTTATCATTGCTGGCTATGGCATAAGGTTCGGACTCAGCCGCTCTCCACCATCATCGGAACCAATGCCTCCGGTCGACGCTTCTGGGTCGCTGCCATGATGAAGGTACTCTCCCTTCCCCACCTTCTATATAAAGAGAGAGGGCACTAGGGACAATCATTCCTGAAAATGTCAAATTATCGTATATTTTAAAAAAAATTTAATATTTTGTAGTTTATTCTTTTCTCTTTAAAATTTTATAAATTCGCCTTTCAACTGTAATGACAATACATAATTCATTCGGTAAATTATATATTTAGTACCTTAACTATTACTTTTTTCGTTTTGATCACTCAACTATTGTTTTTTAAAAATTATACTTAATGTTATGTTTAAGTTTTATTTTGGTCACCCGTCGTTAAAAAATTAACAGAATTACTAATGGGGTATTTTAAAAAATCAGTGATGATGTGGTATTATCTTATAATGACACGTCAGCATCAACATTGATTTTTTAACGGTTGGTGACCAATATGAAACCAAAATTTAATAATAGGTATGATTTAGAAAACAAAAATAGTTGGGTGATCAAAATAAAATAAAAGTGATAGTTGGATACTAAACATGTAGTTGACCCTAACTCATTTCCACTAAACAAAAAAAAATCTTAAACATGAAAAATTGCTTCGCATTCCACCATTTAGTTTGTATTTTCTGGATTTCACATGTATGATGAATGTGGCATGCAGGACAATGAGAAAAAGAACATCTTAGCAGTTCAAACACTACGAAACAGCATAATGGGATCAACCCTAATGGCCACCACTTGCATCCTTCTCTCCGCCGGTCTAGCCGCGGTAATCAGCAGCACTTACAGCGTCAAACGGCCGATCAATGACTCCGTCTTCGGAGCTCACGGCGAGCTGATGGTGGCCCTCAAATACGTCACCATCCTATGCATCTTCCTCTTCTCCTTCTTTTGCCATTCCTTATCAATCCGGTTCATTAACCAAGTTAACATCCTTATCAACTGCCCACAAGACCCGGCTTCCGTCGTCACACCGGAGTATATATCGGAGTTGCTCGAGAAAGGGTTCGTGTTGAACACCGTCGGGAACCGGCTTTTCTACACCGCGCTTCCGCTGCTGCTTTGGATCTTCGGGCCCTTGCTTGCTTTCCTGTGCTCTTTCACTGTGATCCCTGTGCTTTACAATCTTGATTTTGTATTAGGGTTTAATAAGCAAGGGAAAACTGAACATCAGATCAATACTTGTGGGGATTGTGAATCACAGTGATATATAATTTGCTCTATTTTTAAAACTCAATTCAGAATTAATAATGTATGATTAGTGGATCAAACTTTTTATTGTGCTTGATGTTTGTTTTAAGGTTCATGTTCTGAACTTATGAACATATCAGTAAATAATTTAATATTTAAATTTATTTTTTCTTAATATATCTTATTAATATATTCAATATTTATATAATGAATAAACTTCAATTTTATTTGTATTTTTTTTCACGTGTCCCCGCATGTTTGACACATATTTTTCCACATCATCACACATGGATGACAGGAATTTTTGTGCTTCGTATATTAAGACACACATGACAATTGACACGAGGAAAACTACACCTTACACGAACCACTGTTGTTGATGGTAAAGGTAACTTCTTATCATTTAAATGAAGAATTGTAATTTAATAGATTAAAATGAAAATCAGTCGACTAATGAAGCGGGAAAAGAAATCTTGAAATATTGATAATTGAAGTATATTTTCTCAAATAATTCTTTCTACAATATATTGAGAAAAACGTTGAAATTACGGAAGGGCTTCGGGAAAAAGGTTTGGATAACATGGAGTCTTCTACATATAACATATGTTTACGTCCTTATTGGACCATTTACGGAGATTAAAAGACTTCGTGTTATTTGATCGTCTTTCCAAAAGACATCATGCCATCTCTCGTCTTCCTGAGAGAGAAAAAAGATCAATTGCATCACATGAAAAAAAAAGCAATGCCTTATATGGGCCTTTTTGCCGGATTAAAAGAGATAAGTGATATAAAAATAATTAAGAAGAAGAGAGTCTTAGAGGGATAGATTCCTTATTGAGCATTACATGGTGATCTATATACAAATTTTTAGTATTGATGTCAAACCTAATGTGATGGTGACTATTTGTAAGTCAACAAATTAAACATATATATCTGTCATATACTAGATTATTGTCACGTGAGCCTACTAGAGGTCACGTCAAGCATCTGTAATTTTTTTTGAAGGATAAGGAGTTTTGGAGGCATCAAAGAACTCAGGAGGATATGTAGCTCCAAAGATTTCGATGAACTCAAGAGACCTTAACCTTTAATGGACAGAAGGAAAAAGGCAGAAGTGTGATTCCGAAAGAGATCCGAAGAAGAACGACACCTATATGGTGCAAGAAATAATATAAATACATAACAAAATTCACGAACATGATTGAATGTCATAGAAAATGTTATTAGGGACTGAAGTAAAGCTCTCCTGTTAAATCCCAAAGGACACAAGTCGGTATTCTTTGATGCATGAAAGATTTGTTTAAAAATCTCCAATTACATTTTGATATGTGAGTATCGATATCATAAAAGGGTGTCGATACTATGTATTTGAATTTATAAAAAATTATTAAATTTCAAAATAATATTGATATATGATTTTAATATCGATATCTATATTATGGTATCAATACTTTAAAATTTTTTATTTTTTTTCAAACTTGGAGCATAAAATTAGAATTGTAGCTTAGTACATTATCAGAATTGAACTATAGGTATTGAAACCCTTGAGTTAGCATCGGTACCCTTGCTATAAAATGATAAAGTTTGCTATTAGTGAGTGGTGAATTGGTTGATTTGCTTAAATCATTAGAACCAAATCACAATAAACATAAAATCAAACCCAATATCAAATCATGTCAAATTATCAATAATATAGTACTAGATTTGCTAAAGCGTGTTTGAATCCATTGTTGAAGATTACATAAAAGGTCGAGATCTCGGAGATTGCCTTGAATGTTGAAATCTTCCAGGAATATAGGTTTCTCTAGGGTATAAATTCTCTGACGGGATAAGAGAAAATATAAGTTGACCTATTTCTTGGAGACCACTATATCTTTATATAATTGATTTAATAATCAATTATTGCATGTATATATAAATTTGCATCTCATTGAATTATAAACACAACTTTAGTAGTATCTACACTTTTATTTCAATGATACTTATAATATCTTACGACTTGTATAACATAATTGGTCACTTAATTTTATGATAATATTATACATTGTACATATGTGCTCATAATTATAGGTTTAATCTAACATAAATGTCTATAAATTTTAAGTTGTCTGCAACATAATCCATGTACTCTTGTTTGATGCTTGCTTGGAATCTAAAATGTATGACTTGATTTTTTTAATAAACTTGATTCTGCTATGCTATCTGAATGTGACACTTTCTACCCGATTAAACGTTTAGATTAAATAAAGGATGTTACACATTGTGTTCAAAATTAAATGTTACTTTATAAAATCAATCTCACAGGTAAATCTGATCATGGGTGGGTCATAGTTTCATTTCGTCTATGTAGACACCTGGATCATACACGATCGAGTTCTCGGCCTAGTGCAGGTCATGCATTTTCAAGATTTGAGCTTTGGGCCTTCAATGTGAAGTATTAGTCATGTACATTTGATTTAGGGCTTTGATTTCAAATTTTGAGTTTAGGCTTTTGATTTAAAAGTTATAGGTTTTGGGATTAAAGCCATTAAGGCCTCAGGTTTTGTTAGAAATTGATTATTCGGCCTATGATAATTTAATTGGGTTATTGTTCAATTTGAGACTGATATTTTGATTGAAATTAGGGCCATTGGGGCCTTCGTTACGTTGGACTGCATTAATGGGTTTACACATATTTAGTCATTCAATTATCACTTTAATTTTATTTTAGTCATTTAATTATTATTTGTAAATCATATTTAACATTATGTTTTAGTATCTACAGTTAAAAAAATTGTTGACTTGGTAAAAAATTATTTTTTAATGATAATGTGATATTATATTATGGTGATATCTCAGCATCACCGTTGTTTTTTAATGGCGCGTAACCAAAACATAACTTTATATATATGATTTCGAAAAAAATAATTATTGGATTATCAAAATGAAACCATATGATAGTTGGGTAACTAAATAAAAAACTATGTCAACAGTTCTATTAATTTTTAACAGTGTGTCATTGAAATTAAACCAAACATTAGATATACTTTTGAAAAAAATTTGTTGAATGATTAAAACGAATCCAAAATAATAGTTGGGTGACTAAATGTAAATTTTACTCTAAATTCAAATAGTTTTCGGATCAAATGTATTTTTTTACCTCTCTAATTGTCATTGTCATCTACTAAACCCGCCAAACGCCGCCGTTTAGAATGTTCTTGGAAATGTAACCGAAGCTTTGAAAACCGTGAACGGTCGAAAGTATCAATCAAATCGCATCAAAAATAGAAACTTCACCCAAAAAAAAACTCTCCTTTTCTCCTTCGAACCTTAACCGACTTGAGTCAACGAACGCTATCTGGTAAGCTTTATCAGTCCCCAAATCACTGAGTCAACTGAATCCAACTCGGGGTCAGTTACCCAGATAGTAGTTTTTGTTCTAATGGCATGCAGTGAGATAAATTCCTGGACATTTGCTGCTCTAGTGGGTGCTTTTCTCGATCTCTCCATAGCTTACTTCTTACTTTGTGGATCGACTATTGCTTATTTAGCTTCGAAATTTCTGGGTTTATTTGGAAAATCCTTGCCTTGTCCGTGTAATGGATCGTTTGGGTACCCGAATAAGAAAAAATGTTACCAATCCATGTTGGTTAATAACCCACATCTGATTGCTCAACTCTACTTGTGAGAATCAAGGATAAAATTGATAAATGGTCGAGCAAGCACTTAAGCTTTGGGGGGAGGCTACATTTGGTTAAGTCGGTTCTGTTTAGTATCTTTGGCTATTGGCGCAGGCAGCTGGTCTTGCCCAGAGGGGTCATCAGAGATGTTGAAAAATTATGCATGAGGTTTTTTTGGAAAGGTTGTGATATTTCAGCTAGAGGGGCTAGAGTGAGTTGGAGTCAGGTTTGTTCTTTAAGATCAGAGGGTGGTCTGGGCTTGAGGAAACTTTCTGACTGGAGTAGGGCATGCTGCTTCATGCTCATCAGGAAAATTCTAGCTGATGAGGGCTCTTTGTGGATTGCTTGGCTCAAATCTTATTGTTTCAAGGTTATGGATTTTTGGACAGTTGACTGTAAGCCTCATTTTAGCTGGATCCTAAGAAAGCTGGTGAAAATGAGGGAGGAGGCTAGGGGACTTTTTGGTTCTGCTGCTGTTTTGTCTTAGATTAGAGGTGCATGGATATGAGACCATATCCGTGAGAGGAGGGACAAGGTTGAATGGCACAAATTGATTTGGTTTCCTGCTCATGTCCCAAAATTTTCCATTGTGGCTTGGATGGTGATTCTGGATAGGCTTCCTACAAAGGATAGGTTAGCCAGATTTGGAATTCAGGTTGATCATATCTGTGGTCTGTGTGGAGTTGAGCTGGAATCTCGGAATCACTTGTTTTTAGAATGTTCTTTCGCCCGAGAGGTTTGGGATGTAATCTTGCAGACTTGTGGTCTTCATAACCAGCCGATTCTTTACTGGAATGATTCTTTGCACTGGCTGGCCTTGAATTTGAGGGGTAAATCCCTTCTTGTTTGTATCCTAAAACTTGCTTGGACTGATTTTGTCTATTTTCTTTAGGAGGAACGTAATCATAGGCTGTTTAGAGGTGTTAATCGTTCGGTTGATGCAATTTCATAAAATTAGAAATTCTATAAGAATTAAATTGTATAGATACAGTATGAACTTGATTGATGATGTAAATAGGAGGCTATGTCTAGATTGAGATTTGTCTTAGTGTTATATTGTTCTTTGTAGCAGCTTGCTGCTCCTTGGATGAATAAAATCTTTACTTATCCAAAAAAAAATAACCCACATCTTAAAATCTCATCTCTCCAATCTTCAGTTAAGGAAAAGCTTCCTTTCGATTCAATCTGGAACGAATTTTATGATGATGAAAATCGCCATTCAAATTCTGAAAAATGGCGAAATGGGTATTTTGAAATGACAGGGGGGGCATCGTTTAGTTCATGTAATTCGAAGAACTCCGTTGGAGCAAATAAAAGAAGATTTGGGAATCAGAGGCCTAGAGTTGGTCTTAGGCGGCGTAAGAGAGTTGCCAATGGCTATGGAGGAAAGGTTTTGACATTTTCGAATGATCGTTTGGCTGCCATTGACACTACACCAATTGGTTTGAGTGCTTCCATTACTACCCCAGATGATTCTGTAGGTGAGGTTTTTTTTTTCTTTTCTAAATGTTTGGCTTTATTGCTGAATCAGATTTAAATAGTGGCTGTAATGTGATGTTATGATCTTTATTTCGCTGTTTTAACATAAGGAAAACATGCTTGCAACAGCAAATTAATTTCCCTCTATGCTATGCTATTAGAATTTTGGTTTTGTTTTGATTATGTTGGAATTGCATTTCAAAGATAACTTGGATGATGATTATGCCAATAATTGGCTGAGGATTGCAAATAAGTGGGGGATCATTGTAGAATTCGCTTGTTTAATAAATCTTTTCATAATTGAATTTATGGTAGCTGATTTACTAAAAACAATGTTACACGAACCTGGGGTGATTATACACTCATATTTTTCTCTAAAATTTCTCGTGTATTTAGAACGTCGGACATCCATAGCTATGCCTCCCTGTTAGATACGGGTAGTTCGGAGCAACATGCACTGACAAATTAAGTTCATATTTAGGTTTACTTATATTTCAGGGTCCATGTGTGTGTAAGTGGCAAAACCTTTTGTGCATGCAGCAAGTGTTAAGTTACAGTTGCATATAAGGTTGCTGTTCATATCCATGATCATAAAAAAAACTATAAGAATTCAAACTTGATAATTAGACACCACAAGTCCTCAAAATATAAAACGAAATTCTCAAAAAGTTATCTTTTTTTTTCTTTTAGCTCAGCATATTAGCTTTAACAGAGCTTCCAGTTCCTTCTTTTGAACCTAATTCATACATTTAACTGCAAAGAGAAGAGAAGATGCAAGCAATAGGCCACATGCCATCTCTAAAATACTGTCTATTTTATTAAGCTTTTCAGATCCGTACAGAATAGTTATCGAATGACTTTTTCTTTTTAGCAGAATGAACAAAAAATCTATAGATTGTTTTCGATGCTATTGAGTCCTACCTTAGGGGAAAAGTTCTCTAAATTCTTGACAATGCTTTGAATGTCAAAGGGAATATACATAATGAATGCATGTGCTTTGAACTAGTTTTTTTTTTTCCACTTCACATGCTAATACCAAATGTAATGTGCATGGTTTCTCTAATTTTAGATGGCTGGGAAACTTCAAAAGAGATTGAATTGCCAAAGCAAGGTTCACATGGCTTTGAAGTGGATGATGACCCGTTTACCAAGAATAAAATCAAGAAGGATTTCGCATCGGCTGGGTTTGAATGCTGGATGCCGGATCGGCATTTTGATGACGGTGACAAAAATGCGTTTAGAGTTTTTGAACAAGCTTCACATGAAGAGCATGAAGCTCGTACTGCTTTGTACCTTGAGCTTGAGAAAGAGAGAATTGCTGCTGCTACTGCTGCAGATGAGGCTATGGCAATGATACTGCGGCTGCAGGAGGAGAAGGCGACGATTGAAATGGAAGCTAGGCAGTACCAGAGAATGATCGAGGAAAAATTCGCATATGATGCTGAAGAGATGAACATTCTTAAAGAGATCTTATTAAGGAGAGAAAGAGAAAAACATTTCTTGGAGAAAGAAGTTGAGGCGTACAAGAAAATGTTTTGTGAAAATGTGGTATCGGATATGGATATGTATGACATGGAAGCCATATACGAACAAGAGACTTCGAATATGAAGCAACTGGTAATGTCAAAGCAGATTGCTGAATCTGTTGGGGAGAAGGAAAAGACAATGCTTAACATTGATTTTTCGGAGTATGGGATCAGATCTGTTGGGTCACCAAATGATGCTCTTGAATTTGGGAAAGAATTACCAGTTGCAGAACTCAGTGGGGATCCTGCTTCTTTAAATTATACTATCGAAGAAAATCATGCAAATCCATCCAGAAATATTTACGAAATCAATCAAGAACTTGAGGTGAAGGGAGTGGCATCTGAGAACAAGAATCCCGATCATCAAAAAAGCTATGTTCAATCTGATCTGTCAACTACTCCTTCGAGATCTGATTGGCACGAGAAAGCCATTAACACTAGAGTAGAAGAGGAGCAAGGCAGAGAAAGCAGTCCACACCCATGTTTGACACCAAAAGCAATTGAGACTAAGATAATTTTTCCATACAATAATGAAAAAATGGAGAAGCATGGAGAAGATTTGCATGGAACAGAATCTGGTACCAACTTTCATCCTCTCGGTGTTAATGTCATTAATGATAAATCTGACTTGCCTCAAACATGCAATAATCGAACCATTGGTGGGTTAGAAACCGAGGCTTACAGGAGAAGCAGCAGTTTAGATCGACCTGAAAGATTGCCACCATGTGGTCCTTCACGAGTCAAATCTTTACCTCCTACTTCACGCAGAAGTTCGATGTCTTCTTTCGATTACGAGCGGTTGATAATTGACAATGAAGTTGGTTGGCTTAGAGAAAGGCTAAAGATTGTGCAGCAAGGAAGAGAAAAGCTGAACTTCCCAGCAGGGCACAAGGAACGGGAACACTTTCAGTTGCAAATATTGGAAAACATTGCTAATCAACTTCGAGAGATTCGACAACTGAATGAACCCCGGAAGTTTTCGCGACGTGCATCTTTGCCCCCTCAATCCTCTAAGGTATCATTTCACTCTTGCATGATCAAATTTTGTATCCTTCTCCTACACAATCGAGTTCCGACTAACAGTTTTATTTGGCTTCATAAGTTCCTTTACTATTTGAATGTTTAAAAGTTCATTCAACTGCATAAGTTCTGTTTTTATTTCGATGCTAGCTCGTAGACATAAAAAATGAAACCCGATCCTTGGAGAACTTGGTTGATTTCAGGTTATGTCAAAGAAAAGAAATCAGATGGGTGTTCCTGGAGGATTGTTGAGAAGCATTTAAGTCTGATGAGCAGCATAATCCAAAACTTTTTGAAGGTTTCGATGGTAACATTTCGCAGTAGTAAGTTTTCGTCGAAAATTTTACTTGTTACAGATTCGGGCTCGAACGTTGTTCGACTCGAGTGTTAGTGCTAAATGCGGTAATAAGTCGAACACAAGTATGTTCGATCTTTTACTAAGTTTTTTCATGTATTTGGACCGATATGTGTAGTCATGGTAACAGCCACAGGGTACTTCAAGAAATATTTGTCTGAGCAGAATCCAATTTTGGCTTTCTTAATATGTAAATTTAATATCATAAAGTGTATTTTCCATTAAAGTTTTACTTTAATTTGTTATTGTAGTTCTAAAATTTAATTACATGTTTCTTATACTCTTTTATTTAATTTCATTCTGCTGCGGTTTTGCTAAAATAGTTTATAATTGAAATTTGAAAAACAAGAATTAATAAATTTTCCTTCTCTTTTACTTTGTTTTGACTCTTCATTCAACAATATTTAAATATAATTCTTTAGAATTTAGAATTCACTTAAATGGTGTAAAACTTCAATTTCAATTTAGGATTGTTAGATAAATAAAAATAGAATTGTTCAATGAAAATCTTTTCATGTTCAACTGTTAAACTATTAATTTTAACGGTTTTTTATTCATTTAATGATTTTAAATTTATATAAAATTAAAAAAAACACATTATATAAATATACATTAACATATATATATATATATATATATATATATATATATATATATATATATATATGCTGTCAAGTGCAGATGGAATAGAGTCGGAACAAAATCGTAACAAAGTGCGGCTGGATCACCTTTTTAGAGAGAGCTGATATTTGTTGGGTATTTTGGTTTGACACTGAAAAGAAAAAAAGTATTAATGACAATAAAAATAAGAATAATATCAAAATATATTAAACTTAGAAAACTTAACTTAAAATGCCATTTTTAATAATAGGATGAGCTTCCGGTGTACGTCGTATACTGAAATATAATATTACCGCGCTCCATCAAGAAGATATCACTAATTAAGTAATCAAATTTATATAAATTAAAGTTTATATTCCCTGAGAAGAAAATATGCTCGCTGCTAGTATTACTAAGATATTTGATCCCCCTATCTAAGAATTTTTTTCATAAAATGTCTTTTTTAACTTTCCACAATCTTGCTAGACGAGATATCATAAATTATCCGTATGATAAATATGTTGCTACTTAATTTCTAATTTAGTTACTTTTCCATTCATAAAAGGTTGACAAAATTTATTTATCAGATATTTTTTACAAAGTGTCAAAAATATTTATGTTTATATTAATAATAATGGTAATTATTCAACATTCCATTTTTAGAATCTTCCTAATGTAAGTACCAAAACCACCCTCTAGAGCATAGTTCAAGTGGGGGCAAAGTGAAGGTGTATTTCGTCTTTCGACTTGTATTCTTATTATTCTTATCATAAATAAATTATTATTTTATATTAATAACAGTAATTATTTAATATTAGGTTTTGAATTTCCCCCCAAGACAAGTACCAAAACTACCCTTTAGAGCATAGCTCAGGCGGGGGCAAAGTGAGGGTGTATTTTGTCTTTCGACATGCAGGATAGGGTTAATTAATTGAGAAAATCGCCTCAGTGACCAAAAATGCCTTATAATATACGATTTTAACCAACTTTTTTTGGATTTGCCAAAATGACCAACAAAATCGCAACGCGAAATAAAAATCGCAACGCGATCCCCAGAATCGCAAATCAGTTTCCAAAATCGCAACTCGATTCTTGAAAATCGCAATGCGATAGTACAAATTCGCATTGCGATTTTCAAGAATCGCAACGCGAATATGAAAATCGCAACACGAATATGAAAATCGCAACGCGAACACATAAATCGCAACGCGAACACATAAATCGCAACGCGTATCCGTAAACCGCAACGTGTATCCGTAAATAGCAACGCGTATCCGTAAATCGCAATGCGTATCCGTATATCGCAACGCGTATCCGTAAATCGCAACGATAATCCGTAAATCGCAACGAGAATCTGTAAATCGCAACGATAATCCGTAAATCGCAACGAGAATTTGTAAATCACAACACTGAAATTTTGGGTATATAACTACGCAACAGCAGCAAATCATAAACTAAATCCCTAAATCGCAACTCATTCCATCTCCATCTATCACTCTCTCCGGCGACATCCGTTCCTATATCCAACGACATCCTTCCCAATCCGGCAACAGGTTTTAGTTTCGCAGCTCGTCTGTTTAGTAAATTAATTTACAACCATGAAATCATCTAATGTTGATCATGTTTGGATAGATTTGTGTTTTGGAGGGTCATGGGATAATGTTCATGGTGTTTTACAATATATGCCTTTACCCATGAATCTTCAACTAAAATTGTCTTTACAAAAGTTAACTTATGAAACTCTAATGCTACGTGTTTCAAATAAATTGAATTTAGAGCCCCTAAGTGGATTTAGGCTATCTTATCAGAGAAATGGTAAAGTTTATTTGTTAACCGACAATGAAGATGTTGAACGATTCATTGCTTACATTAGTGTTTCACAAGATGATGTTACATTGTATGTTGTTGAACCTAGAAGTAGTATTGTTGGGTCAGTAGCGGGTAGTAATCAACTAAGTTTTTCTCAAAACCCACAACCTTTCTCTAATCCAAATCCCAATCAACTTTCAGCACCAAATTCCGGTTTTCGTATTGACCAGTTAGACGATGATGAGCCAACAGAAAAAATTGTGAGTACTAGTCAGTATTCGAAATTTGGTCTTGGTCAATATCCAGACTTTGATATTGGTCAATACACGGATTTTGATGATGTTTCAGAAGAAGAAACAGACCCTGCGTGTAATGATTTTGATATTGGTCAATACCCGAATTTTGATGATGAAACAGCCGTTGCCGAAGAATGTATTGTTGATGATAATGAGGAGGAAGTTACGACTGTGAATGAACATGTTGAACATCCATTCTGTAATTCATATAATCCTGAAGAAGAAAAAGAAGAAGAAAAAGTCCCCGAAGAAAAGAAAATGCCACGGGCGTATAACTGGAATATGCCAGAATTACTTCAGATACCGGAAGAAGAGTTGGTAAAGAAAGCAGTTGATTGTTACACAAAAGTTATTCGTATCAAGAAAGATGATTGTTTTGATACAAAGGAAGACTTGAAGATAGCTTTGTATACGAAATGTGTGGAAGACGGCTATCAACTAAAAGTTAACAAATCAAGCAAAGATCGTTTCGAAACAAAGTGTATGATTGACAAAAACTGTACGTGGCGTATGATTGCAAAGAGAATAAAAGATTGCGAAATGTTTCAAGTTAGGACTTTTATTGATAAACATACATGTTCAAGAACCCAAGTTTTTCCTCACCATAGACATGCAAACAAAAAGGTGTTGGGTGGTTTTCTGGCTGAGTTAATGTTTTTGAATGGCAGGGTATATCGGGGACATGAAATTATGACTGACATGAATGCTCGGTTCAAGATTAGTATATCATATTCTCAAGCTTGGAGAGCCAAATGTTATGCCTTGGAATTGTTGAGGGGGTCGCCAGAAGCATCGTTTGCCCAACTGCCGGCTTATTGTCACAATTTAAAGCTGAAAAATCCTGGGTCGGTAACTCATATCAAAACAGATAGAGATGGACACTTTGAGTTGCTGTTTATCGCCATTGGTGCTACGGTTAGTAAATCAATATAATTTTGTTGACTCATTTTTGTTAGTTACATGCATTTCACATTTAAATGATTATATTTCTTGTGTATATTATTTTGTAGATTCGTTCGTTTATTACTTGCATGCGCCCAGTTATTATAGTTGACGGAGCACATTTGAAAGGTCGATACCTTGGAGTAAACTTATTAGCAGTAGCCATGGATGCTAACAATGGGATATTGCCAATAGCTTACGGGGTTGGCAAATCTGAAACCTCTGATTCATGGACATGGTTTATGGGGCATCTTAGGGATTGCATAGGTCCTATTAGCAATCTGACAATCATATCCGATAGGGCAAACTCAATTGACAACGCTGTTAGAAGGTGTTTCCCAGATGCTTTTCATGGACTTTGTGGTGTTCATTTGTATAGAAATCTAAAATCAAGGTCTGCTGGTATAAAAAAGCACAAATGGACATACTGGAAGGCTGTAAAAGCTTATCGGGAAGTGGATTTCAATAAGCATATAAATTGTTTAAGACGTGTTTTGCCTCAGTGTGCTCAAACACTAGAAGATGTCGGGTTTGAAAGATGGTCAAGAGTACATCAACTTGGAGCAAGATATGGTTTCATGACGTCTAATAGTGCAGAATCAATCAATGCTCTAAGTCGTCATTCCCGGAAATTACCCATTACTATGTTAATGGTGTTTTTTCGAGCCTCTATTCAACAGTGGTACTACAAGAAAAGAAACCATGCAGGTATTATTTCTTTGAATTCGTAACTTATCATATTTATATATTTTACTAAGTATTGTTTATTTAAATTTACAGGAACATTGGAACATCGTGTTACACCATGGACTGAAAAAAAGATAACGAAACGTGTTGTGAAGTCAACGTCATGGAGAGTTGAACCATGTTCAAACACTTTGTTTCAAGTACTGGATAATAACTTAAATGGGCTAGTCGATCTAAATGCAAAGACGTGTAGTTGTATGAAATGGCAAACATCTGGTTATCCGTGTGGCCATGTTATAAAAGTTGCTCTTCATTTAAACCAAGATGATTCAAGCGCATACGCTATGGATTGCTACACTACAGAAGTTTATCGACAGACTTATACCGAGATTGTCTACCCTATTCCACATCCTTCTGAGTGGGACATACCAGATGACTTACAAACAGTTTTGCCACCAGCCATGGACAGAAGGCTACTTGGCCGACCAAAAAGTCACGATCGTATACCGTCTAAGGGTGAAGAGAAGAAGAGATCGACATGTAGTCGGTGCAAGGAAAGTGGTCATACAAGGTTGACATGTGGATCACCAGTGCCATCAAAATCATCTTTTCCTCTACCAAAATATGGATCCTCATCAAAATCCAAAGCTCATATGGTGTCAAGCAAAAGGCAATCATCTTTAAAATCCCAATCACAATTGGCTTCACCTTTTGGGACTGTTAACTTAGGTGATTTTTAAATGCAAACATTGTAT